TTGTAGAGGATGAGAGCTTCCCCACTATGGAAGAGATCATTCCTCGTAACCCTACTTCTAGGTTCGACTTCTCTAAGGAACTCGCCCTTTAACCGGAGTCTGTGAAACCTGAGATGGAGGCGAAGCACCTTGTTGCCCTTAGGACCAAATATGACATTCCTGCCCACGTCGACTTGGTCCCGACGGGAGATGATGTGGTTCAAGTTCACCGGCCTGGGTATTGTGCATTTTATGCCTACCCATTCCCGATAGGTAATTCTCTTCCTCTTCCTCTGTTGGCGGAGGAGTTCTGTCGCTAATACAACATCTGCCAGACACAACTTTCTCCCTACCTTTACAAGATTTTTCTTATGTTGGCGAAGATCGTAGGGCTGGCCGGCTGCGAAGTCTCTATCTGTTATCTACTGCACCTCTTCGGATCGAGCTTCCATAAGGGCACGATGATTCACATCCGCCACCACGGAAAAAAGGGTTGGTGGCGGGGATGGATGATAGGATGAACCATTGGTTTTTGGCTCATTACTTCTTCATCAAAACCGAGCATGTAGTGGCGAACCCTAGCGAATTTCCTAAACAATGGAATTTTTCTCGTAAGTGTCATCATTTGGAGTACGTTCTTTCCCTCATCTTCGTGTTTCGTGACTTGTTACGTTGTTTTTCTTTTTGTAGCTGAGAAGTACCCCCTTCTTTAGTCGCCGATATCAGTGACTGGGTGACTCGCATCTTGCCTCACACCGTAGGGATCCAAGACTAGGCGTCCTTCAATAAGAGGCTCGGGCTCAAGCCTTCGACCGGTAAGTCGGGTTTTTCTCTCATAACTACTTCGCTCTTGTTGTGGTGTGCTTCTTTCTGCCGCTTATGGTTTTCTATTGACGCCAAGTTGGAGAACTTCTAAGAAGGCGAAGGCTCCTATCCCCGCATTTCGTCAGGCGGTTGCTTCGACGGGGATGCAGTTTATGTTGGTTGAGTCTGCGCGAAATACTTCTTCCCATGCTCCGATTTTAATCGAGCCTGGTCGTCAGACGGCCACTCCATCAGTAGAGGTCCCTGTCTGCCCAATGTTTTATTTAATGGACGAATCTTTCCCCGGTGAGAAGGAAACGACATCGTTGATAAGGCGACGAGTAGAGGCTTTGGCTATGCCTGAGCGGGCAATAATTGTGGACGTGCAAATGCAGAAAATATTTATTGAGTCATCAAATACTCCTGCATTTTTTCTTGGAGCTTCATC